TTTCGATTTATTGTAGAGACGAGGTCTTGCCATGTTGCCCGGTCAGGTCGTGAACCCACGGGCTCAGACAATCCTCTTGCCTCGGCCTCCCAAAGTGCTGGGATTACAGGCTGAGCCACCGAGCCCGGCCCTGTTTTATTTTTAAATCGAGGAATAATCAACTTTTCATCAAAGGCACACATCTTCAATATGGAGCAGACCTGAGGAATCACACATCTCAAGAGGCTCTCATGCTCTCTCAGTTACTCCCACCTCTGAGGTAACTACTATTCTTACCTCTATTACAGTAGTTTTAGTTTTGTCTGTTCATGAAGTTCCTAAAAATGAAATTATACAGTACTTTTTTGTGTCTGGCTTCTTCCGCTCAATGTAATGATTTTGAGATTCACTACATCCTACTAGTTTGCTCTTTTTCATTGAAGTGTAGTATTTCATCATATAAATATGCCCCTAAATTGAATTATTTATTCTTTTTTAAATTTTTTAAAAAATTAAGAAATAGCTAGGTATGGTGGCTTACGCCTGTAATCCTAGAACTGTGGGATGATTGCTTGAGGCCAGGAGTTCGAGACCAGCCTGGGTAACCGTAGCAAGACCCTATCTCTAAAAATAAAAAATAAAAAAATGTAAAAAAATTAAGGTATAATTTACATGCAGTAAAATTCACTCCCCCCCCCCCTTTTTTTTTTTTTGAGTTGGGGTCTCACTCTGTCACCCAGACTGGAGTGCAGTGGCCGCTCCCGGCCACCGCAGCCTCGACCTGCTGGGGGCTCCGGCGATCCTTCCGCCTCAGCCTTCCGAGTAGCCGGAATTACAGGCATGCGCTACCACGCCCGGCTGATTTTTTTATGTACTGTAAAGATGAGGTCTCGCTGTCCAGGCGGGTCTCAAACCCGCGGGCTCAGGCAATCCACTCACCTCAGTCTCCCAAAGGCACGGGATTACAGGCTGAGCCACCGAGCCCAGCTCACTCCCCCTTTTTAGTGTTTGTGCTACCGAAGTGAGCACTAAAATTAATCCTTTTAAATGAACAGTTCTGTGAGTTTTGACAAATGTACATAGTATGTAACCACTGCTATAATTGAGATATAGAATATATTCATCCTATTCCTAATGAATTTTTTGGGACTATAACAAACTGTGCTGAGAACACAGCAGTAGAATGCTGGGTTATGGTGTGTACATTTAGCTTTAGTTTTTTCCACACAGTTGTCTAAGGTTCCCACACCAACTTACCTTCAAACTTACCTTCCCACTGGCAGTATCTGAGGGGTCTACTGTTCCACACTTTTGTCAACATTTTAAAATTTTCATTTCAGCCAGATGCAGTGGCTCACACCTGTAATCTCAGCACTTTGGGAAGCAGAGGCAAGAGGATTGCTGGAGCCCAAGGGTTCAAGACCAGAATTTTTTTTTTTTTTTAAGTCAGAGTCTCAATCTGCGCAGTCTAGAGTGCAGTAGCACGCTCACAGTCACTGCAATGTCAACCTGCTGAGCTCAGGCGATCCTTCTGCCTCAGCCTTTCGAGTACCTGAAACCACAGATGTGTGCCACATGCCCAGCTAATTTTCTTGATGTATTGTAGAGATGAGGTCTCGCCAAGTTGCCCAGGCTAGTTTCCACCCCGTGGGCTCAGGCAGTCCTCTTGCTTTGGCCTACCAAAGTGCTGGGATTATAGGCTTGAGCCCCCATGCCTGACCAGAAAATGTTTTCTTAAATTGTCACCGCAAAAGTTACTGGGTAAACAATTCAGACGATGAAGTGAATGGAAATTCTTCTCCCCACGATACTGCCCATCCCCGGCACAGGTCAGCTCCCTGCACTGGTGCCCAACTCCACGCAGCTCTTTAAACCACGTGAGCCAGTGGCTTGTGGCTGCTCCCAGGCTCCAGCAGGCTGGAATCCCTGCTGCGCCCTGACCAAGGCTGAACAACTTTTAAAACTGGCTGGCGACCCAGGATTTTAAACCACCTCCCTGCCTGATCCACTTTCCTTTAGGCTCATCCAGGAAGAAAGTTACAACTTCTCTTGCTGGGGGGAAGGGAGATAGGACACCTCTGGCCTGATGCCCTGCATTTTCCGGGAGCAGAGGGGGTCCTGGCCTGAGTCAGAGGCAAACTCACAGCATCCTCTTGCCCAGGCCTCCCTCATGGGAGATGTCAGCATCTCGGCCTTCACTTGGGGAAGGGTTTTGTCTCCTGGCTTGACCATCCACTGCTCTTCCTCATCTTTCCTGAATGCCTACTTGCTGGGCTTAGGAGACATTATAAAAATGTCTGGAGCATACTAAGTGTCCCATGACTAAGCTATAACTCTGATGGGGGGTTACGATGGGGACATACGTGGCATAAGACCTGGGCATTGCAGACACTCAGCCCATGCTTCCTCCTCCCATGGCCCGCTTCAGGAGCAGGAAGATGCTCACAGCAGAAGCAAGGCAGCCCAATGCCACTCCTTGGCTGTTCTGGGACCAAGGCAGGAGGTAAAGGGTGGGAGGGTCCTGGGCAGGCTCAAATGTCCGCTCATTACATCTGCTGTGTGACCTGGAGCAAATGTGCGCCTTCTCAGTGCATCCAGCTGCCTTCCTCTGTAAAACCAGGAGGGTGGGCAGCTTCACACCGTCTGGAAGTTCAGGATGGAGCAGGTGAGTTTCCACATGATGGTGACTAATGCTCAATCTCTCCCCTCCCCCCAGCTCCCCCTTGGGGATCTACACAGCTATTTTCCCTTATCTGGGGCAAGTCCCCTCACTCAAATGTTCTCCTCGATGTCAGCTGCCTGCACAGCGGAGGGGTCTCTGTAGCCTTCAGAGCCCCTCCCTCCCTGAGAGAAGCCAAGCCCCAAGACCAAAACCACAACCCCACAGCCCTCACATATTGTGCCCCTGCACGGGGCTCCGGACCAGGAGTGAAGACTAAGTTCTTGGGCATAAGAGACTCGGGGGAACAAGCTAGAGACAGGGCAGCCTAGGAATCTGGAGTCCCCATTTGCTGTTCTGGTAGGATATTGCCTCCATTTTCTCATCTGGAAAATGGGATGAATCATCATCATTCCTTTACTATGTGGATGAATTTTCACAGATAGTCATCACACCTGACATGCATGCCCTTGGTATCAGGCAAAGGCAGCATCTTATTTGTACAGATCCCTGCTAGCACAGAGCTCATGTGTCTGTGTGTGGGGTCACCTGCAATGGGGAAATTCCCTCTGAATACCAAAGACCTAGGCTTGGGCTTGTTCTTTCTGATTGGCCCTTTCTTATTTTCTTGAGGGGATGAGACTGGGGAGGGCCCAAGTCCTGAAAGGCCATGGCAAGAATCCTTTAAATGTGTACTGAGGACAGTGGGAAGCCACTGGCAACCCTGGAATGATGGTGTCCCTCTTGCCTTTTGGTACAGTCCAGGAAGGGTGAGACCAGAAGTGCTTGGGTAACTAGGTGAGGGGAAGGAGGGACTGAATGCAAAGTCCTGACAGGAGTATCATCCAAGAAATGGAAGACTTAAGAGGAAGAGAACATGAGGCCGCCTCTCTAGGAAATCGTTCAGCTTCTGCTGCCCTGCCCCCCATCCCAATCCCACCATCAGGGTCCGCGGGGGTCTTGTCAAGGGCCCCTCAGGACACAATGCTGGTTACTCAGCTTACTCAGTGCTTTATTGAACCAAGGCCCTAACAGATGGCTTGTCAGGGCCTTCAAGCACAGCCCTTCTCCCACCTGGAGATTCAGAATCCAGGTTGCTCAGTCCTTGGTTTAGTTGCTTCCATTTCCTCATGAATCTTTCCGAATCTTAAGCGTAAAGACTTTTGTCCTCACAGACACACATATATTCCTGTGGCAGACTGGCATGCTCACCAAAATGCTTCCACCCAGTTTGTGTGCGCATGTGTGTACAAGGCACGGTGCATCCACGTCCATCCATCCATCTGCGACAAGACAGCAGCAAGTTCTGACCAGTCAGTCCCCAGGGTTCACAGTAGTGGGGGCTGGGCTTTCTGTGGGCTCATGATCCAGACCTTAGCCCTTGCCCTGGGAACCCCCAAAGATAACATCCTTTCTGGGGCAACAAAACTGGGACCAAAATGGGTCATCAATGTTTGACAGCCTAAAAAAGTATCCTGAGATGGGCAAAAAATCAGACAGACAAATCAAGCATGCAGGTAAAACTGAAACAGGAAAGAGTAAGAGCTTATGTTTTGGCTGGAGGTGCTTGTATGGAGGGACAGGAAAGAAGAAATGAGAAAGGGACAACATGGCAGACACACCCATGATTCCTGCAGAGGGCAGGGGCAGCCCTGGCCAGGTAAGTGCACAGGGTCGAGTGCTGACTCCCAGGCCAGGAGAGTTCAGCTCTGACCCATCCTTGGGGGCTGAGGCTCCCCCCAGTCTCAGCTCACATATATACAAAGGGACTTTTCTAGACACAGGAAGACAAAGGGACTGACCCAAACAAGGAAGCAAAAAGGTTCCTGCTGGACACAAAATACTGCTTTAAGCTGGCATTAACCCAACTTAACTAACTCAATAGACTAGGTCCCTTCCAGGGGTGGGTGTGGGGATGGCACCAGGACTGGATATGACCAGCATGAGACAAGGGCAGTTGGGCTAGGGGCAGACAGGTCACCGATTCTGTCTTTTCCCTGGGTAGCACCTGGGCCCTCCAACAGGCCCTCAGCCCTGCAGGCCCACAGGGCAGCTGGCTTCAGGCCTCAGGAGGCAAGGGAGGTGGCAGGACAGATGATGACCCCTCACTGGTCCTGCAGCCGGCTACAGAGCTCCCGCCGGCTCCGCTCCCCGGCCCAGCTGCGTGTCTTGAGACGGAAGGTCTTTAGCTCGTCCTTGAAGTCCTCGTGGTTCATGGGCCGGTAGTCCTGGGGCTCACAGAAGTTCTAGAGCAGGATGGGAAGGGTTCATCAATTCAGGGGAATTGGTAGCTTTGGAGACCCTATCCTTGTCCTCATGGCTATTGCCTGGTCAAGCCCTTTCCTGAGGTCCAACACTCATATGGCATCCCCGACCCATGGTACCGGGTGCTGTGGGAAGAACTCTTTGTAGCCGCCTTTGAGGATATACATCTCAGGATAGTAGAGGCTGGGGTAATCATTGACGGCACGGTCTCGTTCCCTGATGAAACGGCACCTGGACCAGCAATGGGGGGGGCACAGTCAGAGCATGGCAGGTGGTGGGATGTCCATCAGGAGACCTATTCCCTGCGTACACAGAAGGCTTTTGAGCATAGGAATGTTAGCCACAAGAACATTTTTAGGTACATTTTACCAGGTACAGAAGAGGTTGGGGGAGATGGAAGGAGGCAAATCAAGGCAGGGGACTATTTCTAGAAGGCAGTTGTACAGTCTTTGTTAGTGATACCTGTGGCCTGGACCAGGAAAGAGGAAGTTGGGGAGGAAACAGTGGACAAAGTTCAATAGATACATTTAGGAGGTCCCCAGGACAAGACCAGGTGAGTGCTAGAGGTGAAGAGAAAAGGAGGGAGCAGGAAGACCCAAGACCAAAGCCCAGTGACTGGTGGAGGTGGGTGCCATGTGCTGGGATCCCTGGAGAAGACGGGAGGACAGCAAGGATAAGGACTCTGAAAGGGTCCAGATTCCCAGCACACATGTGAGGCTGGCTGGAGAGCCATCAGAGTCAGGTAACCCAACGGTAACCCAGGAGAGGAAGCAGAAAGAGTGGACAGCCAGCCAGCCAGAGCGTGGAGACAGAAGAGACCCAGGAGAGGAAGTTTGGCAGAGGTGCCGCGGACACCAAGGGAACGGGGCTCCAATGAGGGCCTCACAGCACCAAACACCAGAAAGGTCAGTGCCACTGAGGACCAGCACAGGGCCCTTAGATTTTGAGGACATCACTAGAGATTTGGAACCAGATTTTCTGAGGGTAGCAGCAGTGGACAGGGGGTAGACATGAGGTCTGACAGGAAGAACAGTTAGAAGGGAACAGAAGGCGGGTGCCGTGCAGTGAAGCCGTAGTGAGGCCAGTGCCAGGCCATCAGATCAGGCTAAGGACAGGCTGGGCTCACACCTCTGGGTCATCCCAATGGCATCAGCACCTACGTCCCTGGGTAGGGAAGGCCAGGTACAGACACTAGCAGAGTGGAGCTGGGACTCACATGCGGGGCCCACGCTCAGATGAGAATTCACAGTGGAAAATGAGAATGACTCTCTTGTCCAGGCTACAGGGCATGATGGGGCTCTGCAGCAGGAAAGTCTCGGCATCACGTTCCAGGGGCAAGTTCACGGCAGTCTGTCAAGGGAGCCGGGGGTCAGACCTCAGCCCTGGGCTCGGGAGTCAGTCCCCTCCCTTTGCAGTCTCCATCTTTCAGACAGGTGACCCTACCTCTTGCTGGGCAGGACCCCTCCCCATGAGAAGATGAACCCTCTCTCCGCCCATTCACCCTCTGAGGGAGGACCTGGACCAGGTGGGCTCTCCCAGCAACACGCCTCACCTTGATGTGCCCACCCTCATACTCATAGGGGTATCTGCAGTCCACTATCACAAACTTCTCCACAATGTTGCTGAACTTGCCCGTCAACAGGGCCACCATCTGTAGGAGGTCACAGGGGTTGGTGCCAGTAGGTTGGGCTGGCAACCAGAGGCCAGCCCAGTCCTTCCTCTGGCCTAGTCCATGAGCCTATCCCCAGGGAAGGCTTACAGCCAAATAGCATTCTACATGCACCTAGAAAACAGCTCAACCCTGCTCACCGTTTCTGGTGAGATGTATTTGAGGTCTTGGTGTTTTCCATCCACAGTCTGTAGGAGAAAGGCCTGAAGGGAAGGGATGAGAGAGGAGAAAGTGAAATTGGTAAGATAGGAGCCTGGGGAGAAGGAAATCTCATCCCCCAGCCCAGAGGCCACACTTGCTGTGATCTTCAAATTTAGCTGAGGCTCCCCTAGCAACCAAGGCGCCTGTTGGGTCTGATACCCAGTGAACAATCTTGCAAGGGGAAGTGAGGAGATGAAGTCTCCACTCTGCACCCTATGCTCTGCCAAGTCCGAGGAGGTTCTGAGCTAGATACCAGCTTGGGAATAAGGCTGAGAAATGATGGATGCCTAGATATACAAGAGACAGAGTCAGGGATCAGGGAAAACCAGAAGGAGGAGTATACGTAAGAACAAAGATGAAAAGATACAAAGGGCAAAGAAAAGGGGGCCTCTGGGAAGAGAGGAAGGAGCCGGAGCAGCTCTTGGGCAAGGGTCAGTAAGAGATCAAGCCCCCCGAGAGGCCCTGCGGGCTGGTACCTTGGAGTAATCTCCAATCAGCTGGCGGTGGTCACTGCCCAGGATGCTCTCAATCTCATCATGACACAGGGACTTCGAGCGGAGGACACGGGCTTTCTGGAAGGCAAGGCAGATGGAAGCCAGGGTGAGGGGTGAGGCTGCCCCTCAATGCCCTATCTGGCTGGTACCCCCTTTCCCTGCCAGGCTGCTACCTGTACTTTCCCCTCTGTCACAAACCCTCCCATGGGCTGGCTGGGCCAGGCGCATCCCCAAGGCAGGCAGTGAGAGCTCAGCCCCAGGAGGAAGGCACTCACAGGTTCCTCGGGCTCCTGATGCTCCCCTGGAGGGGTCACACTCCTCCTCCGCTTGTTCTGTACAGGCATATCTCCGTCCTGGGGCCGCTCCAGCCTCTTGAGGATGGGCCGGATCACGCTGCAGGGCATGGACGGCGAGCGGAAGAGCCTCTGGCACTTGCTGTACATGACGAGGTCCTGGCAGGGGCAGCAGGTCAGGGGTCAGAGTGTCCAGCCCCCTCACCATCCCTCAAATCCCAACTGGAGTGCAGGAAGGACCCCATGCTTCCAAATCCTGAGGGCAGCCGTCCAGATGCCCACCTGCTCTTCTTCCTTTCCCAACGTCTTGACCAGTGGGGCACTGATGAGGCTCTCCATGCCCGGGGGGACCGCATCGTCACTCTGGGGCCAAATCAGTAAAGATATGGTCATACTCAAAGGCACAGGCCAAAGCCCTATGTCCGCAAAACAGCCAGCACAGCTTCCCTCTTCTGGCAAACCCCAGGCCAGCTAACTCTTCCACAGGGCAGTCAGATCATTGACCCGTGAGAAGCTCCCAACCCTGCCCACCTCCCCTCCACTGGGGCACCAGCCACCTGCTCTTCTCTGATTGACCAGAGGTCAGCCTGTGACTTAGTTACCTCCAGTTCTTCTGACACTGGAATGAGGTCAATGTCTTGCTGCGGGGGCTCAGAGCTCTCTTTTCTGGGAGATCCTTGGGAGGGGAAGGTAGGGGCCTGGGGGAGCAAGTCTGCATACCTTTAAGTCACTCTCCAGGATGTCCACAAATCCATCATCTTCCTCAGCAGCACCCTCGGCAGGGGTCAGGGAGAAATGTCCTTGGGCCAGGGGGCCCAGCTCTTCTACTTCCATCTCTTGCTCAGGGGTGAGATACTGTCCGAGCGACGAACACACACATACTCAGGGGTGGTGGGTGACAGTATCCCACCCCTATCCTTTTGAGGAAAGGTTCCCAGTGCCTGGGTGCTCAGGACCACCCCTCTTTCCCCCAGCTGCCTCCCCAGGCCTCTGCATGGGGTCAGCTCTCCTGAGGTACCATCAGGTCCGGGGCTGAGCTTGGCCTCTGGGTAAAGGCTTCTCTGCGGCTGGCCCAGTGTGCCAGAACATGGGCAGAGCTGGGCTTCCATGGCATCTTGAAGACAATTCCATCCTGTGGACAAGATGGCAAAGGAGGGTCATCAAGTGCCAGAGAACCCCCAAGCATGCCCCCTTCACTCCCCGGAGTGCTCCAGCCCGGCCTTCCAGAAGCGCACATTCTCTTTGTCTTCCCCGGAGCTGCTGGCAGCCCTGCCGTCAGCCTGGCTCTTCCTCCGGCTGTCCAGTGCTTGGGAGTTGGTGACGTTCCGGAGCACAGGGCTGTGGCTCTGCAGCCTCACCTAGAGAGCCAGGCAGGGCAACAGGCACTGAAGGCTGCATTCCTCTGGCACCAACCCTGGCCCCGCCCCTCCTCCCAGCCCCCCAGCCAGACTGGAGATACCCTCTGGGAGGTGACCCCAGGATTCCTTCTGTCCCTCCTTGTGCCTGGCCAGCAAACCTAAGCCTCCATTTGGGCCTCAGAGGATACTCACCGGCAGGGACTGGTAGCGTCTGATGGCAAACTGCTTGCTGCAAAAGGAAATGAGGACAGGTGAGGGCTGGGGGAGTTGGGGGTAGGATGGAGAACATGCAGGGTGCCCTTCCAGCCCTGTACACCCTGGGGGAAAGCCTGTGGTGGTGGAGGCCCAGGAGCACTTACCTTCGAATGACTCGGCTGGCTGCCTGGATGGCCTGTTCAAATCTAGGACAGAGCAAAGTCTCATCAGGCAAACCATCCTCCCTCTGCACCCACTGCCCACCCCAGCCCCAGGTCCCCAGTCCACAAAGGCCAGGGACAAGAACAAAGATAAAGAACAGGGTTCAGGCCAGTGGAAGGAGGGGGGTATAAGAAGAACAGAACAACCACTATCAGTGGGGCCCAGGTATTGGGGAGGAGGGAGACGTGAGGAATTTTAAAGGCTGCCCTGAATGGAAAAGAGCCCAGAGAATGGCAGTGATGGCGACAGCTGGGGCAGGTCGCAGGGTCGTGGAGACGTCACCAAGGCAACGGTCTCACCAGCCTGCACACAGGCCTTCCACCTGTATGCAAATCACCTCAGCAGGGCCACATGGCCACCAGGAAAGGCATCCATCCATCCCATGATGACAGGCCACAGGCACCTAGCAATGTGGGTGTCTCTAAGGGCCTGGATGCCAGCAAGGCTGGGCTTCCCTACCTTGTGAGAAACTGGCCTGGCTCTCCCCTGGGCTGCCCTGGGGCTCCCCTAGGTCAGCCCCAGTCTGCCACGGGAGACCCCCTAGTGGCAAATGTGCAGGGTCACATCCTCTCCTCCCTCCTATGGAATTTTCCAGGACCCAGCTTCTGTCCCACCCCCTCCTGCTGCCTTAGAAGAGACCAGCAGGCAAGGAATTCCAACAGATGTTCCTTCGGGCTGGGGCATAATCTTCTGTGTACAGGCCCCGCCCCTGGCTAAGTTACCAGAGACCACCTGCCAGGCGGAGCTTTTTGTGCTTCTATGAGCGCACGCACACACACCCCTTCTTTCTGAGAAACTTTGTGTAACTGTCAGAGCAGGGGTGCAGGACACTCAGGGCTAAAGTGTCGAGAGGATGGCCCCCTGGGGAGGAGGTGCTTTGCCCAGCCAATGTGGCATCAGGAATGACCAAAACCATTGACTTGCTTCCCAAACTGTACCTGGGCCTTGGGAGTAAGGCAAGGATAGTTCTGAGCTGCCACCAAACACCAACCTACAGTCCCCCCAAGCCCCTCCCAATTCTCTCCCCATTTCCTGTTTGTGAACAAACTCTGCAGCCCAGCCCAACCTGATCAAAGGCAATGGGAGACAAGATAGTCGTTGCTCTAAACCCAAAGCCATGGTCCCCAGCACAGGCTGGGCATGCCCAACTGTCCCTGCTAATGGCCAACAGCTGCTCCCTTGCTAGGCCTTAACAACTGGATGGAAACAGCTGTGCTATGGAAGGCACTACCCACATCCCACAACCAAGGAGGTGTCTGTCCAGAGCAGGGCCCACCAGCTGTCAAGCCGCTTGCTCACAAAGGGCCTAGGCTCAGGAGCTGGTCAGAGGGTCAAGTGCCATAGAAGCCAGAGGGTGCTGATGGGCCAAAAGCCAAATCTGCAGGCAACGGTGTTTTGTTTGGCCTACAGTGAGTCAAAGTTCTGATTTAGTTGGATGGTATTTTTAAATTGTGGTCTTTCACAGAACCAAAAATGTGTATAGGCAAAAAAGAAAAATGGGACATACACTAGGTTTATATTCCTGAAAGACAAGGGCTAGTGGGAGTCAAGCATCTGCGGCTCCCAGTGGCCACTGTCCCCACCTCCCCTGGCCCTAAGCCCACTCTCAGTTGGCTCCCAGGAGAGCAGACCTTTCTCTGAAACAGGGAACAGAATCCCAAGGCCTGGAAGGTCAATGAGTACCCCTCACAGAGGGCTCCTGTGGAGTCCGTCCACTTTCTCAAGCCTCCCAGTGAGTCTGTGCTAGAACCAGGATTCCTAAAGGCAGGCGTTGACTCCTTGGTAGTAGGGGTTCCCTTCTCTACTCACGTCTCTTCTGCCATCTGGGGGTCCACAGGGCTAGGGGAATCCATGCAGAGACCTGAGGGGACAAAGTGCCTTGGTTTGATTTGAAGGTAGTGGCATTTTCTGTATATTTTCCCTGCCGTGTCCAAGAAAGGGACATGGCAGCTGATTCCATTGTTTTTTGTTTGTTGGAGTTGGAAGTCTCACTCTGTTGCTCAGGCTGGAGTGCAATGGCATGCTCATGGCCACTGAAACCTCGACCTACAGGGCTCAGGTAATCCTTCCACCTCAGCCTTCCAAGTAGCTGGAACCATAAGCATGTGCCACCATGCCTGGCTAACTTTTTTGATTTATTGTAGGGACGAGGTTTTGCCATCTTGCTCAGGCTGGTCTTGAACCCCTGAGCTCAAGCATTCTCTCGCCTCCACCTCCCAAAGTGCTGGGATTACAGGTTTGAGCCATCGCACCCAACTTGATTTTATTTTGAATTATGACATGCTAAAAAGTGAAACAATGGCAATAGCAGGACACTGTGGGAGTGGGAGCTCCTAACTTCCATAAGTGCCTGATCCTAATTCAGGTGAAGTGAGGTCCAATGGGAAGCACAGAACTTCACCTGTACTGAAACCACTTATGTACGAAATCCTGACGTGTACCCCACAACTTTAAAATTAAACCTTAAAAAAAAGTGAAACAAAAAGCTTACCTGGACACTGAGGGCTGACACATTATCTCCAAATGGTACAGGGCTCCACTCCCTGTTTACTATGGAAACTCTCTCTATATACACATTTTAAATCACAATGCTTGCTAAGCATTTTTAACTGGTTTAAAATAATTTAAAATAACCTGACTTAGAAGAGACAACCGCTTTTTAAGGAAAAGGTTATAGATTAAGAGAATGCTCTAAAGAGAAACTTTTGGCTCTAAGTGCTTCCCAGGTGGGGCTGTGGTTTAGGAACTTTAGCACCTGGTTTTAGATAGGTAAGATCTCATCCCCTGTGGACGGCCCCACCCTCGTACCCACTCAGCCAGTCTGGGTTGGGTGTGGTGAGCCCCACAAGAGGTGTGTCCTCCTCCCAGCTTTGTGGGGGGATGGAGTAGGCTCCTGGGCCCAAGGCGGGTTGTGAGAACAATGTTAATTTGATGGAGAGGGAAATCTGAGGACCCAGGCAACCCCCTCAAACTGTTCTGGTCCTGGCAGACCTCCCAGGTACCTACCTGCATCAGAAGACTCGGAGGACTCAGACAACAGGGAGGATTCAGATGCCCTTCGTGATAGGGGTAGATGTGCCAGCCGGCGGTGGAAGTGCAGGCTCCCTCCCTGACCCTTGGGGGTCTCACTGGGAAGGCAGTAGGGACCCAGGAAAGGAGAAAGGTCAATGTGGGGCTCAAGGACTGGCAGGCCCATGTTCCCACTTGCTATGCACCTCCAAAGGCCCCATCCAACCTCTGCCCTGTTCCAGGGAGGCAACCTCCTCATTATTGCGCCAGGGAGTAACGGCCCCAAGGGTTGACTCTCCTAGGTCAAGGCAGGCTCATCCTACAGAGGCCCTGAAGTGTCTTCTCTTTGTTGATTGGTTTAGGAAAGGTCCTTCAGGTGCAGGGGAAGGTGAGCCCTGGGCACCAGCAAAGAAGCCAGCCTGGGGGTTGGTGGGCTAGCAGGGCAGCTTTGGAGAGCCTTCCCCTAAACTCTCAGACTTCGGGGACAGGGAAACACCTCTTATCAACAGGGTGCCTGAATGAAACGTAATTGTATACCTAACCCTTAACTATACCCCACAAAACCATAATAAAAAATATTAAAAAACAAAACAAAACAAAACAACTCTCAGATCTCTACCTACCCACCATCTTCTCAAAAGAAGGGCCAAGACCTGGGTCTCCTGCTGGGACAACCCAGTCCCAAACCTGCAGGTTGGCTTAGGAAGCAGGATAAGTGTAAAATCACCTTACCCCCACCCCATTCCTGGGGGTGTGTGTGCAGAATTGGGGTGGAAGGAGCAGAGGCATGGGCCTGTGAGTATCCCACCACTGTCACCCTCAAGTTCCCCCTCTAGGCTTAGGATGTCCAGCCTGGGGCAAAATGGTGGCCATTTGGGCAGAGTTTGGGGAAGCAGTGTGGTGGTGGCACAATGTGGTGGGTGGGGGAGAGAAAGTGAGTCCCTGGAGACTTGTGCAGACCAAGGGCAAATCACCCGGAGGGTGTGAGCATCACGACCCTGGTCTCACCGCCCGTGAAACAACGACAAGGGCGTCCCTCTGCTCTGTCCAGGACGCCTCCCCACGCCACCTCTTGGATTGGGCTCCCGTGCCCAGTTCCCCAGGAGGCCCAGGACGCCGGTTTGGACTTCTCACCCCATGCCCAGCCTCCTTGGGGTGTCCTACCTGCCGAGTCCGGCGAGGTCGTGCATGGTCTGGGTGAGAGTGGTGACCGGCGAGGAAGCGGCCGCGCGCTCCGGGGACCCCAGGAGGCCATGAGATCCCAGCTGGAGGCCCGGGAGGTGGCCCGGACGTCGGGCGCCACCGCGCACGCAGGCTGGGCTGAGAGGTGAGCCTGGCGCGGGCTCCGGCTGGGGCACCTCCATCGCGGCGGGACGGGCAGGAGGCTGGCTGGAGGGCCGGCGCAGGGCCGCCAACAGACAGCCGGCTCAGCTGGCCGAGGGAGGGAGCGGGCCCGGGGTGGGGGGAAGGGAGG